AACCCGACGCAGCTGGGTCAAAAGCAGCATCAGCTTCCACCCCGCAATTCTGTTTCAGCTCTGGTTTGTATTAAAGGTAAGTGGTCACTCACCACCACAGCTGCTCTGCTGTCTCCAGTTCAGCTAGGAGACAGGCTGAGAGTTTTCCCCTTCCCCAAACCATGTATGCATCTACATTGTTTTGTGAGCATGTGCAAGCCACGAGATTTCTCCCTAAGATATCGATAGTTCCTGCAGGGAAGGTACAGGCTCTTCAGAGGCGGGTACCTGTTTTGAGGAAGCAGCTGCTCCCCTCCTGGATTTTTAAAACACAGTTCAGCAAACATCCATCCAAATGCAGATGGGTAACGTGGGTACAGGCAATGCTCTAGCAGGCTTTTTCTATGAAGACCTGCTGCTTCTGAGTACTAATCTTCTCTTGATTAGATGGACAGAGAACATCAACCAGCTCAGGGCCATCTGCAAAAGCTGTACCCCGATTCCAAAGGTGTAGAGAGGTCTCCCCGCCAGCTCCCCAGCCAGATGGTTCATAAAGGCAAGCCCGTGCCAGGAAGGACAGAAAAGCAGACTGAAGCTCTCAGTACTTCATACAGCCCGACACACAACAAACTGTCATAGCCCTGCTCCTCATACCCCTGCTGCAAGGATGAGCAAAAGGGGAGGAGAACGACCCACTCTCAGATGTTTCTAACCTCAGAAAACCAAGACCATACTGGAGCCCAACATTCAGTCTTATGTGTAAGATCAGTAATTACCACATGTTTGAAGCCATTCATTTTCTTGAGCTGTCTAGACTAGCAAAGCTCTAGGGTGGGGAAAAAGTATTAACTGGAGAGGAAGGGAATATGTTTATGTTTAACACCCTAACTACAGAAAAGGAGGGTTTTCTCCAGCAATATCCTTCCTACGTATTTTCTGAGCCATCCAGAAGGAACGGAACTGTGGAGAGCATGTGCCATCAGTGTCCCTGTCTATAGGGACAAACCAAAGCCTCAGCTGCAAATCCAAGCCCCAGCACATAACTTTTCTGTTGAAAGGCTGATAGTTTTATCTGCTGTCGCTCTCCCCCACCTTTGTTTCCCTTTGTTGTTGCTTTTCAAAAGTCTCGCCAGCGTCCCCACCCAACCTCTCTCACATTTTCCCAGGCATGACCTTTCTTGCTTGCATCTACTCTATTCCCTGCTCTTTACCCACACGTACTGCATTAAAGCATTCCCCCTGCATGGCAACCCTTACTACCCCCAAGCAGCAGAGCAGCCAGTGAGCTGAGACTTGGCACCACATTCACTGGGACTCCAATTTAATTTTTACCTCCCCCCTCAAGCTCCTGAATCGATGCCAAAGGGAATGCTCGTTTTGGCAGTCAAGTCTCCCAGAAGAAAAGTTACAGCCAAAGTGCTGGGGGTGGGACCAAGCCAGCCTATTAATAGGTTGATTATAATATGAATTTGGGGAACTACTTCCAAATATGCTTACCCTCCTGGACCAAGGGCCCTCAGGGGTGGAGTGGAATACCTAACTCAGCACTTCCAGCTTCTTTGCTACGCTTGGAGTCAGGGAGGGTGGAAAATCCTGTCTGTACCCTGCCTGGCAAACCCATGGTTTTCTAGAAGGGTGGCTGAGCTACTGTTTTCTTCCATTCTCCCCCAGAAAGCCTGTTTTCCTCATACGTACATAGCAGCTCCCTCTGCCACATCAGAAAAGATCTAGAATTTGAAAGCTTCCAGCTTGGATTAGAAAGGTTGATATCCACAGTTTCCCCACGGAAAATCCAGAGCCACTCCAAGAAGCAACACTGAACAATACAAGAAGTCTCAAGAGCCTTCTCACCACCAGCTTCTCCGGAGCACACTGGACCGTTGAGGAAGACAGACTCCAGGAATAGCCAGGGAGCAAAACTTTTGAGATATGTGGAAACATGAGGATGGACTGAGGCTGCAAGGTTTTGATTCAGGAGGCTGTCAGATTGCTATACGTGTTAAAGCATGCTTCCTCCTTCTAGTTGGCAGCCCACAACCTAAGACCCCTTTAAAAGTGCTGGGGTGAGACACACATGCACGGGGGCAAATGAGACAGCCTAGAGGCAGCAAGAAGCAGTATATGCGTTCTCCATCATCGCTACAACCACCTCTCCAGCACACCCACATGGCTGCTTCTCCAGTCTTCTCAAGTAATCCAAACTTTCCTTGCATGTCTTCACGTTTTCCCCATCAACAGACCTTCACATTCCAGCCCTGTGCCTCAGCCAGAGGCAGACGGCAGCCCCTTGTGACCCTGACCGACATTTCACCGACAAGCACATCAAGACCTTTATGGGAACTTTGCAAAATTATGCTGCAAAGGTGTGCAAAAGTTCCCATGTTTCTCATGTTTTGCATAAACACCTCACGATTCGAAGCCTTTAGAAGCTGAAGGAGATGCCAACTGCAATCACTTCGTAGAGCGTTTATCACACTGGGGCCAAACTCCGTATATCAAGACCAGCAGCTCTTACCATTTACGCCCAAGTAACTCTCCCTGTTGCTTGTAGCAAGAGAGCATGAGAGAGAATGAACTCTTAGTTGGGAGACACTCGGACACTGATCAAACCTACACAGTTCTACCTTTACATTAGCAAAGACAGAAAGACACACAGGCTTTAAAACATGTGTCAGTACACCTTATATTAATCTGTCAAACTAAGGAGCAAAGCAACAACAAACTAAGCAAACAAAGCAGCACTGGTTTACCGTTATTAAACACGCTTGGCAAGACTCTCCTGTAACACAAGCCACTGAAGCATCTACATGCTGCACAGTTTGGATTCAATACGTCAAACAAAATTGCCATCAGATGAGCAACGAATGAGAAGTTACTAATTTTTTTCATACATCTCGGATTTCACCCTAGGTTTTACAACTCTTTGCTGCCCTCGCATCACCCAAGGCATTTCAAAACCTTGCTGCAAAGACAGAACTGGAGAGAACACTGTTTCTAACACATGCTATTAAATTGATTCTCAAGCAACTTCTTTGACTCTGATGGCAAGATTACTTACATGGTTAAAGCCAGGCATGCAGACTTTGGCAGGCATAGGATCTTAATTTCTCTGAACACAAACCCACAATCTACTCACCAAGCAAACAGCAAACTTTCTCAAACCAAACCTGTGCACAGGTATATACATTACATGTACTGAACTTTCTGTGCAGAATTCACTTATGAGAGAACTGCCCTGGCACACCTCAAAGCACAAAGCTATGGCACAGGGGAACTCTTTGGTAGTCATCTCTCCATCTCCCCGGTCTTAAAGGCTACAGTGGATCTGGCACCACAGAGGAATTTTAAAGTTAAAACAGTTGGTTTCACAAGGAAACCAACAGATACTAGTTCATTTTTTTAAACCCTGAAGGTGACCTTTTATTAAGCCAATGGGAGCACTTCCATTACAGAAGAGGGGCTCCCCTTCACATTTTACAGAGAAGGAAAACACAGCAGAGTCCAGACCTCGTTCACCCAAAAGGCCTTGAGTTCTTCCAGAAAGCCAGAAACAACATCCAAGAGTCAACTCCCAGACTGGAGCTTCAACCACTAAATCTGCTTCAAAGCAATTCCATTGCTGAGCTAATGGCTGCAGGAGACTGCTCCTACATCCACTTAAACCAGCAGACACTAATCTCTCCATCTGCAATAGATACGCACGCCACAGGGGTCTGGACAGGATAAGCAGAACAGATGTTTAAGTGCACATACAGTCTGGGGGATCATCTTCAGAGTTCAGCCGCTAGCTTCACAGGGCACAGGAACTAAGAGATTTCTAGAGAGCTTCAGAGGACACGGGAACTAAGGAGATTGAGACATCCGTCCTTCCTTGTACCTTTGCTGAAGGAAGCATTAACCCCAGCAGGAAGGCGGAAGCAGGCACACATATGGCATACCTACGGATACTACACAGCTCCCAAACACTCCCAGATACATCTGACACAGCAAACTGATCCATACCTACGACAAGAGCATCGTGCTACAGAACCAAACCAAGAGCAGCATAGGTCTGCCAAAAAGAAAAAAAAAAAAAAAAAGAAAAAGAAAAAAAGCACCTACATGTGCCCCAGTACTCTTTAAAAATATTATTCCTAAATGCCTGAACTGCTGTGAGATCTTAGCTGCATCAAGGCAGCTGCTTCAGCGTTTCCTTCAAGTCAACCCAAAACTGTGGAAAACTGCCAATCTTAGAAACAAGGAAAGAGTCCCCAGTCACTGGAAGCAGCCTTCGGATCCCAGGGTTTAGCTACCCGACCAAGCCCCTCCAAATACCTCCAGCCTGTCACAGGAACAGAACAGGCTTCGGAGCACAAACACTTGAACGCAAGCATTTCAAAAGGAACACACAGGGTTCAAACGACGGTGCTCAATCCAACCCAAGGGATGTTTATTCGGGTTCCTCGGCACAACTCTTGGCTGCACAGGGCAATGAGGACAAATGGATGTTTTTAGCAGCATGTCAGGTTGCCGAATGCTTTCTCACACCAGGGCTGCTTACTTCTTCCTTCAGCCCCTGCCACGTGGACCAGCCTGCTGTCAGGAGGCTCCAAGGAGCAATGCCCTGCAGGGCCAAAAGGGCTGCTCTCAAAGTACAGCCAAAGAGCACAAGCCAGCCCCAGCTACACAAGGAGGCCTCTCTCCCCTTTCCTCCAGTATCTCCATTATCTTGCCCATATCTGGGCAAGAAGCCCAGAGAAGGATCTTGAAGATCTCATCAGCCCAATGACCAGCCTGAAGTTGTGCCATCGGCTCCTTTCATTTACAGAAACCCACAGGACTCCTCTGAAGCTGGGACAACCTCTCCCATACTTGCAGAGGGGAAGAGAGGTTCAGTTTGCCAACTTTGGAGAGACTCTAGGACTCCTCCGGGTTAAGATTCAGAAACCGGCGATGTCACGTGTACAACAGCGGCCGATGCTTCGCTCTACGGCACAGCCACATTTATCGACGCCGCTGGGACCCGAGGGGCTGGTACCTACCTCAGGTGCCCCAAGCTGTAGTATCGCGACTCTCCGTCCGTTGACCGAACAACCTTGACAGCGAACATGGGCTGCAGCTGCCGCAGCTCCAGCAGGACAATGGCCAGGTAGTGGATGAAGAGCAGAGCGTCCACCAGAGACACCGCGTACTGCACTATTCCTTGGTAGTTGGTGTCCTTCGAGTCCAAGATGCGAACGCCGTAAAAGAGCCAGTAGGAAAACACAAACAGGAATATGAGGACCAACAGAAGGGCCCGAAACACAAACACCCTTGGTATATCTGCCTTAGGCTGGCGGAAAAACAGAGCCCAGGTCCCAATCAATAGAATGAGGAGTTTGAACGCCACAGAGATGAACAGTCCCTCACAGACAGTACCACATGGCTCCAGATCATCCCGCCACAGGATCTGGGGTAACAGAATGAAGGCGATGGGGGTAAGGAAGACCAGGAGTCCGAGAACAGCTGCCACTGTTAAGCCCAGGTAACGTCTGCAGTCCAACCCAACGCTGTCCTCCAGATCCTTACTGATCCGGGCAATGTCCTCCTGGGAAATGCTGTGCTCAGAGGTGCCAGTGATTGCTGTCGTGGTCTCACCCCAGTTGTCATCCTGAGGGAGGAAGAGATAAACAAACAAAAAAAACCCACATTGAAACAATCAGGTTATTCCTTCCAGGTCTTCCATTTTTCTTGCCTGGAAAAAGATTGCTACAACAGACTTAAGTCCCAGGAAAAAAACCCAGAACAAACAAACAAAAAACTCAGCAAAAGCAATATCTTCAATATATTGAATAATCAACCCTGAAAATTAACAAAGGTTTAGAAACAACGACGACTTGTCCAAACCAGCAACTACACACTTTAGGTGTTAAAAACCTGCAACTGTAGAGCAGGTAGCTCAACTTGCTACGCTACTCACTGTACCCCAGAGGTTCCTCTTCCAGCACACTTAACAAGTAACATCACATAACTCCTGGAAACTGCAGTAATCACCAGTTCCCATGTGCAGGGCAAGGACTAGCACTCTTCCAGCCCACAAGTTCTGTGGTGCAAGCGCACCACAGAAGCACCTGGAAGGGAAACTTTCATTTCAGTGTTCCGAGCCAGTTGTTGTTTTTGTTGTTACACAATCAAAAACATGTTCACACATTATTTTTCCACCCGTAACAGAAGCAACCGCACTCCCAGCAAGTTCCTCTGCTTTGTTTTCTTTTATTCTCCTCTACAGTAGCACCGCCCTCAATAGCTGACATATTCCAGTAAAAGTTTAAGTAAACCGACAAATCACAGGTGGTCAAAGATGGCATTTTTGGGCACGGGGCTTTAAATTTAGAGGATCCTAGACTACCAAGTAGCTCTGGTGTTAAGAGTCCAGGACATTGTCAGAAGCCACTCAGCCACAAAGCAGCTTACCTGAAATACAGTCGCCATATAGCCAAGTTTCAGACTACATTACATTTTTCTGAAAGTCTCATTTCTTCCCTAGCTAGTATCAGAGGACTTCTGCAAGCTAGCTCTCCCATCCCACGATGCCTCCAATTGCTCCTTCTTGGTGCTGGCACGGCCAAAGTGTTACACTGACATGTACGGATTTAACTCACGGCTGCTGCTGGGAGTGACTCATGCACATGAAGTCTCCCGACGCTTCTCACAAATACAAACACACACCAAAGAGTGGCAATGCACGCGCTTCGTTGCTTGGCACCCGACACCTCTGTAGCTGCAATGCTCATTCAGAAGCCCATGTTTTGCTCTTCCTCCTACCCTCCCGAGTGTATCTGCCCCCAGCCTGTGTCACTAACAGGATCTACACCTTCTCCCAGACTTCCGCAGCTGATAAAAGCATTTTGCTTTAAAGAAACGGGCATAATTTTAAACAAATATCACTAACAGGATCTACACCTTCTCCCAGACTTCCACAGCTACATATGCTGATAAAAGCATTTTGCTTTAAAGAAATGGGCATAATTTTAAACAAATACTCGCTTCTTTAAAAGCGAAGTGAGAGGAAAGAGTCTTCAAGAATCTTTGGGAAAGGGGTAGACAGAGGCAGCACAACTACTTTGAACAACTCCAGGGATTTAACTTCTAATGCACTCCAAGACACAGATACCTCCCATGCCTAGAGCAGTAGGGTTTTGAGACAGACCAACCACAAACAGCCAGCATCTTGAATTAATATGAGGGTTTTTCGAGTCGCTTCTTGCCAAAACAGAGGCCCCAGAAGAGATACCTGCATTGTAGTACGTCCTGAAAGGCAGCATATTCCTACCACATTTCCCTCTTTGCCACTGTCTCCCATAAAGTAATCTAAGCATTTCAACCGTTTTATGTTTATGCATGAAATAGCTCTACATCGTTTCCTCCATTTGATGGACTGAGCAGCTGTGCAGAAGGGACAGAAACACCACAGCAGCTTAAGGCTACAGCCCAGAAGGTAACAGGCAACCCTAGTCCCAGTCTACCCCTTGTAACAGCTCTCCCCACTTTAAGTGGCACAAGCAAAAAAATCATGCAGTTATACGGAAATACGTATCTAAATCTCCAGTGGTACGAAGTTTTTGGATCCAACCCAGGGCACCCTGCTCCCTAGAAAAAAAGTCTTGCTATTTCACATTAGTTTTCCATTCCTTGCCTCCTTTCTTTACTGGGATCCTGGTCCTAATGCCCTTTACACAATTACCCAGAGCAAATCTTGCTTAAAAACAGAAGTGCACATACAGGTGAAAGGGTTGTTCTGAATAATAATGCACAGTGAGATGACAGAAATGAGATGTTCTATAGAGCTCGGCAGATGCCACTCTGGAGACAGAGGCAAATTAGTGCCCCAGGAGCAGTCACATCAGCACCAGTGCTGACAAAAATAATGCCCTCAGAAAAAAGAAAAAACTGATTGAGACTTTGGCTTTACGCATGAATAAAGGGTGCCCATAAATCGTGATTCTTTACTAACAGCACGCGAGCAACACTTTTTTTTTTCCCCTACTCATGTGCCGGTAAGTCATACTCTCCCTTCCAGAAATGACACTCTGTGTTTGCTTTCAGTCCTCCCTTACCTGTCCCTCCTCTGTCCGAGAGGCATCGTTCCCAAGCAGCGGCTCTGCAGGAGGTGTCTGGATAGTGACGGACTTCTCAGACCGACTGCCATCTTTGCTTCGTGGCGATTTGTGCCTGTCCCGACTCCTTTTCCAAACAGAGCAAGAGAACAACATCATCAGATAGTTTCTGGAGCGGGGCCTGGAATCTGCTACATCTCTACCTGCAGCAGGCACCCTAAGCATTAGGTCATAGTCATGCTTGCCCATCTCCTGATCAATATTGACTCAATCTGTGACAAAACAAGCTTCGGAAGAGGGGGAAATGGACCTTGCCCAGAGCAGCCTATAGCCTGGTGGCTGGGACAGTCTACCCTCTCAGTAATTGAAGAGGAGAACAGGGTTACATCCCCACCACCTCAGCTTCTCTTAAAACAGCTTCTGCCAGTGCCATGCTTTGCATTCTCCAAACAACTGGCAACTCCATTTGGGATTAACTGGTCTACACAGCTCTCCACCAGCAATAGTGTCTCACAGGGACATGTTAACACAAGGAATTAATCAAGACAGCTTTAGTTCCTGCAACATAGAGTCTCATCAGCTAAGACCTTTAACACTGTAGGACAACTGGTGAAGTTTATTCGTTAATCAACCCCAGTTAACCTCTTACAAAAACAGCAAGAACATCAAGGGTACTAGGGTAGTGCTTACTTCCAGAGGACCCTTGCAGACCTCATGGCTTCTTTGTCTGAGAATGTCTGAAGATGAGTTAAGCCCCACCAACCTGTTCACCAATATTTTCCTTCCCCCTCCTACCTGGACAGGAAAGCAGCCTTTGCACCAGAGACCCTCACTGTGCTTAGAGACTGGCTTAAAGCTCAGGAGCATCCAGTGTCCCAGCTGTGCTCTCTCCATTGCACCTCTCTTGCAATTACCAAAGCCCAAAGGTTTCACGGAATGAGACTGTCTCCTCCTGTACATAGTAAGAGGCTCTAGGATTTTGTATGTTATTTTAGAAATTTTGAAGGCATCTTTCCACACTGCATTCTAAGCTCCAAAGAGGAATCCATGTTGGGGGTGGGGGTGTTAAAGAAGGAAGAAAAGGCAAACAAGAGATGTTTTACTCAATAACCGGACGGCAAGCAAAGAGACTTCATTTAATGGAGGGATTCTTTTTCCAACCACACAGGATAATCACTTCTGAAATGCAAACTTATTTTGGACCAGCTCAGCTCTAAGTAGCAAGAACTGTAAGTGGCACACATTTTGCATGTAAACTAATGAAGATGCAGGAAAAAAAAAAAAAAAAAAAAAAAAAAAAAAAAAAAAAAAAAAAAAAAAAAAAGGATAATGTTTCCAAGTAATCAAAAGGTTTAGAGCAAGTTCTTTGAGGCTGCTTAACTACCACAACAAAGAGGGCTTGCTATTCAAGTTCAGAAAGCCTGACTTCTAATCCAATCAATGCTGATAAAGGAAGTGTTGCATACTCGAGTACCACTCAAATTCTATCAAAAAAGCCACAACACAACAGAAACATAGTATCCAGGAGGACAGCGGGGAGAGACAGAACAAAGAAACAACATCAGAAGAGAAAACAATTGGCAGTTATCAGTTTACGAAGTCTGACACATCATCTCCCTGGCTCTACTCGTCCCTCGTACTATAAGAGCAGAGCTAGGTGATCTTTTCCTTCTGCTGGTGCTTTCCCAATCTTTCTGGTCATACATGATCTCGGTGTGCATCCAACAAGTTGAATATCATTATATTAGCAGCATTGTTGCTTCCAGTCTCCTCACTGGGTTCCTCATGAGGACTCTCCACATGTGTCTCCTCCAGAGCTGTGCCCCACCGATTTCATCCTGGCTTACAATTTTTTTTTTCCACGGGGCATGTCCTAGCTTAGAGCAGCAAGTAATTAAAAATAAACATTTCCTTACCCTTGTCTGTGGGCTTTTTTGGAGTGACCTGAGTAGTGGGAGTATCCCGAATATGTTGATTCTGTATCCATTGCAGCAGACATTGGGTCTGCACAGGAGGGGCACAGATTTTACTTAGAAGATGAGTTCCTGGTGCTCCTGAGGTGGAGTCCGTGGTAAAAGTGCTTTTCTGGGTACTCTTTGCTTCCCAGTCATCAGTAAGGTCTGGTCCTCAGAGAACGAGTGAGCTTCATCTACAAGGAATCCAATCAGTGGGGAGGGAAAGGGAGGGTGCTCAACTCCTCACGGTCGACCTAAGGAAAGACAAACAGACATAGAAGTGTGCTCTAAGCAAAGCAAAACAGCATTCCTACTGCAGCAATTCCCTCACCCTGGCTCATCATGCTGTGCCCAATTTGCAAGCATGTCCTGGCCGATCTCTCTTTCCAGTCTAGAGAAATACATGCATTTGCAGAGCTTTCAATAAGCTGATAACATATCTCTGTTTTGCAAAGCATAGCCCATTCATCAAAAAATCCGGAAGAAACAGCATAAGTCACCTGGAAAAGACAGCGACTTGTAGAAGGCTCAGCAGCCTAGACACAGCAATTCACCCCCCAGAAAAAGTACTGGGCTTGACTTCCACACCCCCATCCCTCCACCCGTGTAACGCACAGTCCAAATACCCCCAGATTCAGAACAGCAGGATTATAGCTTATATACAGGGGAAAGGGGTGGGGGGTGAGAGTGACTCTCCTAAGAGAAATGCAGGAGAGGATCAGACCACCATGTCCGAACTTGCGTTGTTTTCACACCTGCAAGGTGTGCCCATTTTAGAAGCATTAGTTACTATACAATCAATGGCACTACAATCGCCTCCCTTTCTCTGTAACCTTCGCCTCCAAGAAGCTAATTTGGGCCTTGAAGAATTGAATTTTGTTAAAAATTGTCTCTATATATACACATACTAATAACACTGGGGAGAGTTGATTAGAGATCACATCTAGCTTATATGGGCCAACATTTCTTACAGCGTACTTCCATTTGGAACAGAACCTTAAGTCCCACCCGTAAAGGGCAGAAGAGGGTCATGTTTTTTGGAACAGGAGCAGGGCGGCAGCGGAACAATTCCCAACAGTGACATGTCAAAAACCCTGAGCACTGTGAGGAAGAAGGGTAGACACCATCCCGCTTCCCAAACCCACATCCTGCGTCAGGAGAGAAGAGAAACGGAAAGGAGGGGAGTTAGTCACTGGTTTGGGGAAACGCAGGCAAACGGTGAAGAGGTGCAGACGGAAGGGTTGCAGCTTACGGACGGAGGTACCTTGGCACAGCCCAGTGTTTGGCACGAAGGAGCACTCTCGCATGCCTCCTGCCCAGATGACTGCTGCCTCCAGCCAAGACAGGGCTACAGCCATTGCCGTACTTCCAGAGCGGGCAAAAGACTGTTTTAAAGTTAAATTAGATCCCTCCGTTATTTTCTGCTCACAGCAGTTTTCAAAGCTGTTAGCAATAAAAGTCAACCACTGCTTTCAGCCCTCTCTCTCCCCAAACACAGAGGGACAGCAACAGAAATCAGGCTTTATACTTGGCCAACTATTCTTTCCAGCCATAAGATTCCTCCACTAACACCTCCAGAAAAGCTCGTAAGCGAGCAGAGAGCTCTAATGCATGCAAGCCGTGCCAAAAAACGAAGCCTCTTCCCCACAGGGTTCCTTGGCTGGCAGTGCAATCTGCAATGAAGTAAAGAAGCGTTCCGGCTGCATCGGGAGCTGCAGGTATTTGCACAACACTCGGGCTTGCCAGGGCTCTTGGAAAGGAGAAGGCAGTGGGGCGAAGCTTTTGTGTACAGGAATTCCCAAGCCCTAAGAGCATATCGTGCCTCGAGAAAGCTCCTTAAAGGCAGCACAGAATCTAGGGAGGACAAATAAGGATGGGAACGAAAGGCCCGGTTTTGGGAAGCGAGGAATGAGGGTGAATTTAAACACAGCAAGACATAAAGCCAAGGCACGGCACAATTTGGAATATGGCATCGTTACTGTAACAAGAATAAAAATTCTCCAGCCTGGGACACATGACGTTAATGCTCATTAACTCCCTAGACTTGCACACAGCCTGTAGTGTATGGATCCAGCAATAGGCTGGGACTCATTAAACCTGATTTTTACCACTGCCCTGCTATGCAGCTTCAGAAGAAACCCTTCCTCTGTGTCCATCCTTCGATAAATGGAGGTGAGGCCACCATCCCCCAGCCTTCAAAAAGGAGGAGATGGCTACACAGGACCTTGGAAGCATTAGGCATTACAAGCCAGGAACACCCTCAGTTGTACAAAAGGTGATAACAAGTACTATGGGCTTAAACCACCGGCTGTGACACTACTGGAGTCCCTTCGAGAACAATCATTGTCTTCACAAATACGGACCACTGCATTAGAGGAACAAAGAAAGCAAGGAGAGCTGCTGACATACGTCAGTAAGGGTTACACATTTTTCCTTGGCTGCTGGGAAATATCGACTCCCAGCTTTTTCCTCTAACCACGTAACAGATTGGTTTTTTTTCCCCTCCCAACCCCCAGACTGAAGAATCAGAGCTGAGACAGGGACTGGGAGCAGAGCCCCTCTTCTGCCCCCTCTTCAGCCCCAGCAGCACAGGGTCACATTTCCCTGGAGATGTCGGAGAACATTTCAGCGGGTAGAGGCTGCAGTGGAAACGCACAGGCTGCCCGGACAGGAGCCACAAGCGAGCGGTACCCATTTGAGGGTGGGTGAAGCAAGGCGATGCTGGGCACCAGGCAGAGAAAGCAGACTCATAGGAAGACCAGCACAGGAACATCGGGGCAGGCTGGATCATGCCAACTTTCATCTTCCGTGTAAACAAGTGCAACAGTTTTGACACAGCTCTGTGACAAGTCAACAAGGAGGCCTCCAAAAATGTTAAGCCTCCTGGACTGTTGTCAAAAGCAATACAGTGAACCTGGGGACTCCACACCATCCCAGCTGCAGGACACACTGGTGTCTAAATAGATCTTCCTGCCAAGGCAGTCACAGGGCTGCTTACAGGGAATAAAATGTACCTGCCCCAACTTCAGCTGGAAAAAGCAGACCACCAGTGGCTTTGTCTGGTGCCTAACCAAGGCTGATTCTCAACAAGGCTTCCCAGATTTGGCTAACAAAGGATGGCCCAGGCTGCTGGCTAGATACCACTGCCAGTCTGAGCAGGATGAAATGAAGAAACACCGAGGAGGGAGGAGCAGAGTCCAAACATACACTTCTTATAGCCAAGCCAAGCAGGTTACCTACCTCCTAGTTTATTTTACAGCAGGAAGGGGACCAGCCCTACCCTAGAAAAGCTTCTGGAACTACTGAGGAAAAGGTAGGGAGGGGACCAAGAGACAACCAACATGCTAAGCTACACCTCTGGGTTGGAGCACTTCCAGTTGGCAGAAGCCAACCCTGGATTAGCCACCGCCACCCCAATAGTGTCCACGGCTACAGCCTCAGCAGAGCTAGAGAAGACAAACCCTACATGTACCCTACACAGCGCAATCATATCCAAACTAAGCAGTCTTCAAACACCTCCACTACTAAATCGCTATTAATGATGATTCTTACCCTACCCATCTGGGCAAGGACAACTGTGCTACATAAAGAAGCAGCCCCATCATTCAGGGCCACAAACAAGTGTGAATTGAGAGCCCAATTTAGCCAATTGAAATGGCTTCACAGAAGATCATCACATCTTGCAGGACGCCGCTGAAGACATGGTCTGTTTGCAGAGCTTCTGGCCCTGTGTGAAAGGCAGCTCCTTCAGCCCAAGGGTACTGTCGCACTGTAATTCAGCGCTGAGAAGAACACCGGTACAAGTAGCTTCTACCTCCACTCCACGGTTCACCACACTCAGCTGTGTCGACACAGTTCTCAGCAAGCAAACAGCAAGGCTGGAAAACAAAACAACAAAACCCCCCTTTTCTCCCCCTCACCGCACTTTTGTCTTGGATCCTTTCCGTGACCTAGTTCACAGCACAACCCCAAACAGCAAAACCAACGCCAGGGCGAATAGCTGGGCAAGCGAACAGCTAGAGGGGCGACGGGAACGCCTCCTCCACTCCAACCACCATAGCTGCGTAACACCCAGCACTGCGCGCCCAGTACGGCCGGGGCTCTCCCTTTGCCGTTCCCTTACTCACCGATGACAGAAGGATGCCAAGTACTAGACGGAAAGCAATGCTAAGGACGCCCCAAAGGAAATTTTGGGACCTTGTTCTCGCAAGAAGGATGGCGGCATGCTGCATGACAGCGGAGAAATGTAGTTACCCCTGAATACTGGAGATCACTGTTAATTACAGTTTCTACGCAGCTACACAACTCGTTGTAACTCCCTCTTTTCATACGCTCATAAATCTCCAGAAAGAGTTCTTTTGAATTGCTATTTTCCATGCTGGGAGCCCAATCCCATTTCCAATGAAGTTCGCTTTGTGATCGTCTTCAAGGGAGCACAGTTTGGCTCCCAGCCCAAGGGAAATTTAAAAGAGCAAGTTACATCTTTAAATCAAAGAGGGCAAACGCAAACAAGAGCGCTCTTTTACATCCCATGCTTTCCCGATGGATTTTCCCCTGTGAAGCTGAGGCAAATAACTCCAGAGCAGCTCAGCTTTGAAATCCTTGTCTGTACAGTTTCAATCCTACTCCGTTTAAAACTTGCAATCAATTAGACTCGATTTACCAGCCGGTTCATGAAGTTACATATATTTGGAAGTGCCATCTGGAGCACCAGCAGCCACAAGTGTCCGCGAGGATGTGCACACATCCAGCTCTGTACGCTGTCAGCCTCACTTGTTAAATAGCACCAGCTGTCTATAGGGTAACGAATGCCCACGAGCTATCGCGCCGAGAAATCTTTTTTCCTCGTTTAGTGAAACAAAGAGCTTTGCAAATTAAACATGCAGAACCCCCAAGAGCTAAGCTGTGCGATAGCATTAGGGTTCAAGAGTAAAAATAATTAAGAGGTGGCTAGGCAGTGAGGAAGCGGTAACTCGGCTGCATTAACTCGGCTGCACGGTATGGCCGCAGCGTGTTCCTATTATTCACTTCGGAAAAACATGAAGTTACGTAACTTGCGACGTTCGACTGCACATACAGTAAGACCTATGAGCAATGCCACAGGAACCTTTTGCTTCTGGATTTCCTGAGGAGGCCCCAGTCCAGCAATTTGATCTGTAAGCACAGAAGTTCACCCATGCTGATCTACTCGCAGAGCCAAGGCTTTCAGTTTTAACGGCCAACGAGCTTTGGGAAACAAGGTTTTTCC